TTCAGTTGGTCCAGGTGATCCTGTAGTCTTGTGCTATCTTCCTCCGTCCTGGAAGACGGAGGAAGATTCTGATACCAAACTATGATAAAAAAAAAGCAGAAGCTCCCCTTTTTTTATAGTTTTAGTATCATCAGCAAACATTGGGAGAAATGGGTCTATACCCTCAGGAAGATCATTTACATAATAATAATAATAATAATAATAATAATAATAATAATAATAATAATAATAATAATAATAATAATAATAATAATAATAATAATAATAATAATAATAATAATAATAATTAATTGAGTCATTTCATTGGACAGGAAGCCAGGGTGTATTCGTACACGTTAGGCTTTTATCGAGGTCCCCCCACCCTCACAAGGCCGAATTACTGACCCCGCCCAGGATGCAACCCCACAACGAGCTGACTAACTCCAGGGGTACCTACTCACTGCTAGGTGAACTGAGCCATTAGGTGAAAGAAAATGTACCAAACCAGTCCCACCCGGGATTCGACCCCGGAATTCTCGATTCTACGTCGAGAACGAACCCGAATGTACTACAGGGACCTTCTAACATATATAAGAACCAGGATGGTGTTCAAGTACGGAATCCTGTTAGACTCTGCTGGTGATATCTCGCCACTCTGATGCCTTCCCCCTCACCGTTACTCGCTGTTTCATGTTGCTTAGATACTCCCCTATCCACTGCAGCACATTGCCTGTTTTTCCTGCCTGTCTCCTCCAACTTCTGTAAAAGCTTCTTTTGGAGTACTGTGTCAAAATCTTTCTGACAGTCCAAGAAAATGCAGTCTGCCCACCCTTCTCTTTCTTGCCTAATTTTTGTCGCCTAGATATAGAATTCTGCTAAACATGTAAGGGACAATTTATCATACCTGAACCCATGCTGGTGGTGTGTTACAAAGCTCTTTCTCTCCAGATGTGCTACAAGATTTTCCTCAAATCTTCTCCGTCACCTTACATGATATACAAGTTAGGGAAATGGGTCTGTAGTTCAATGCTTCTTGCTAGTGACTCTTTTTGTATATTGAGACTATGTAAGTTGTCTTTCAACTTTCTGCTAGGTCTCCTGTTTCTAGATATCTATTAAACACCATAGAGAGTGACACGCATATTGCTTCTGTTCTTTTAGTATCCATGGTGAGATTTTGTCAGGCCCAACAGCTTTTGCCCCATCCAGCTCCAGCAGATTCCTCTTGACTTAATCTCTGATAAGTTCGAATTCTTTCAGGGTTGTTTGGGTTACCATCACCTCTCTTAGTACAGAGACTTCTCTCTGCTCTATTGTGAAGACCTTCTGGGCCTTGTTGAGTCCTTCACACATCTTGTTATTCTCCGTGTATCTGTTCTCCTCTTTTCTCAGTTTCATCACTTGTTCCTTCACTGCTGTTTTCTTCCTGATTTGGTTGGGTCTTGACTTGACTCGCGATGTCATTTTCATACTGTCTCTCTGCTTCTCTCGTCATTCTGAGGTACTCATTTTTGGCCTTCTGGCATTCTGTTACTTCTGTAGTGTCTCTATGTTCTTGTACTTTATTGCCTTTCTTCTTTACATGCCAGATGGAACCATAGATTCCTCTGCTGCATTTCATTTTCGTTCTTTGAGGCCGCGATAAACTTGTCTGCAGCTGCCTGGTACTTCTGGGTGACGTAGTCCAATATATCTTAAAGTCTTTTCTCTCAGTTCTGTTTCAAATGGTATTCCCATTGGGAATTTTCTCATCTCATCATAAGTTCCTCTTCAATAAACCAGCCCTTTCCTTTCTGGTCCCTTCCTTGGATAGGTTATCCTTACTTTCACTAGGAACTCACATATCAGCTTTTGCTTATTCCCAAAGGGTTCCCAAATTTGACTTCCCTTACGTCTGACTCTTCCAGAGTCAGACATTATTCTGAGTCAAGTGTTGCTGGTTCGTCATTGCTTCTCATTCTTGTGAGTTCCTTGACAGGTTCATTCAAAATGTTTCTTGTTTCCACTTCCAATAGTTTAGCTCTCTAAATATCTGTACCTCCATGTGCGTCTCTGTTCACCCAGTCTATGTTTCCATGGTTGCAGTATCTCATAATTTAAAGTCTAAATCCATTCCTGCAGGGGATCAAAGCTGCTCTATTATATTAAGTGTTTCCATGCTGCTTCTATCAAACTCCTGTCTGGGTCTTCTATCATTTAATGGAGGGGGTTATAAATTATTGATACAAGTATCGTAGGTCCTCCCAAGGGCATATTACGTGTTATGTAGTCTGAATTCTTCACAGACCGAGACATCCATCTCTTCAAAACTCCAGTCCATCCTTATCAGCAGGGCTTTTCTTACTTCCTTCCTTCTCTTTTCTTATAATATATTAGTCCTGCATAACCACTGCATTTGTTATTATGCCTGACAATTTCGTTTATGAGAGTGCCACTGCATCTGGGTTTTCTTCATGTGACCTTTCCTCAAGTATGCTTGATTTACTTGTAATGCCTTTATTGTTTGAGAACATTACCTTGAAGCTCACTTTCCTATGTCTATTATCATTTACTCTCCCCACTAGTGTAGGAAGCTGTTCCATGGGCTGGTTTATTGTTCTGGCGTGTAGTAAACAGGGAGGAGGATGATGGGGATCTCTCGTCTTGCCTAGGCCTACTTTGAGCAGGAAACAGTCCAAGACATATGTAGGCATGGGATGCTTTGAGTGAGGTGGGGCAGAGAGGGTTAAGGTGGCAGGGTGGACATTTTAAGGTGGATACCGGGGGCTTAGAGGTCGGAGTGGGGTATGATGGAGTTGTGGGGGGGGTGTGGCAGTTCTCTCTATTGTTTCTGAATTGATGGTTATGGATTCCCCATTCTCTTCTAGGATTGTTGAGTTGGGGAACTGTGGTTCCCTGTTCCTTTCCCTTTCACTGCACCTCCTCCTTGCATTTGCTGCCTGGATTTTCTTGTACCTCGTCATGTCTCTCTGAAGGAATACCATTTTGTATCCCATTACATTTTGCAATTTGCTTTTCATTACTAGAATTTCCTCTCTTAGGACTCAATCATGAATACGAACTTCATCATTCAATTTCTGTCCATGTTGTATCATCTAAGCCTGTAAGCCTTTGTTAGGCATTGTTCAGCCTGTTGCATTTGTACCCCCTTCAGGATCTCTGTCTCTGCACATCTGGGCTTAGCTTTTCAGTTTTCCTCAGTGGAACCTTCTTTTTCCTTAATGCCTGCTACAAGTACAGCTCTTTTCCTTTACAGGTGATTAATCACCTTACAACGTTTGTGAAGTGGCTACTTTCATGGCAACTTATAATTATTATGGACATGGATTCTGGGCTTTTTTTTAGGATTTCTGTATTTGTTACTTCTACTGTAGAAGTACAATCCCCTGTTATATTTCATGCTACTTGCAGGTTGATTGTCTGGGTCTGAACCTGAGTATGGTTCTTTTTGTGTCATTTTATTTCCTTCTCTCCTGCTCTTGGTTCACCGTGTAGGCTGCTTATGGGTGTCTTCATGTCTTTCAGTTCATTACTGATACCCTTATTTACATGAGAGATCATCTCAAAGGATGACTCAACCTGTCCCTCCCATCTGCTTGTGTTCTGTTGTCCTACTTCCGTAATTGATCCCTCTTCTACTACTTTAGTTACGGTTAGACTAACAGGGTCGGGGTCAGAGAGAAAGAGTGTGAGAGTTTGGGAGTGAGGGCTGGTAACCAGCAGTATGGTTGTGAGGGGGGTGATAACCAGCAGTATGGTTGTGAGGGGGGTGGTAACCAGCAGTATGGTTGTGAGGGGGGTGGTAACCAGCAGTATGGTTGTGAGGGGGGTGATAACCAGCAGTATGGTTGTGAGGGGGGTGGTAACCAACATTATGGGTCTGTATTCTATGGCTCTAGTTTGTGGTACGTGACAATATCATTGAGTTGTCCACGAGGAAGAGAGCTAGCTAAGCAAGTGTACCCTCTACCATAGTCCTGTTTGGAGTGTCCAAACCTGTATTCTGATAGATCCTCTCCCAACACTTACCACATGAAGGCCAGGATAGATCCTCTCCCCACACTCACTTGGAAGCTAGACGTAGATATGTAAGAATACTTAGCAAGAGGGTAAATATAAAAATGTTGTGGATTCCTTCTCACATTGGCATGCAGGAACATGACAAAGTTGACGCCCTTGCTAAGGCTGCAGTAAATAAAGACAGTATTGAATGGAATCTTGAGTTATCAAATAGGTCCCTTAAAAGTGTCATTAGACAGAACTCCTGGATGGATTTGAAGAAAGTAGAACAGTGCAAACTGGAACTAGCAGGTCCATTGTTCATCACAATGAAATGTGTGAAGTAAAACATGTGTATGGGGCAAGTAACAAAGTCAGTAGACTAACAGATGTTCTCACAGCTCGTATATGACTTGGCTACAAGTATCTCTGGCAGTTCGGCTTGTATAGGGATCTAGATGAAGTAAAGTGTAAAGTGTGTGGACATAGGCAGGGACACACACTCGAACACTCTATCTTGGATTGTTGTAAAATTGAGCCTTTTAGAGATAAATCTAAGCTCACTCTGTATGATATGGCAACCTATCTTATTACCATGGATAAATTACCTGAAATCCTTGCACTGTACCCACATTTTGCTTCCAGTAGATGAACGACATATGAGATTCAGAAACAAGTAGTGTATTGTGAGGACTAATAATAAACAGAAGCTCTCCTATGACTCTGTAATATCCCCATTGGCCAAACTATTATGTATTAACGACAAGACCTACCATTAATGTATGATGACTTACTGTAAATATGTAGCTCTTGTAATAGCACTTTCTCTGTAACTAGCTGACATTGTATCTATAAAGTGTGAAGGATTGAAGAAATTGTTTATGTAATAATCTAAGATGAGGTCTGATAAAGACCTTTTGTGCCCTCTGTAATGCTTTTGCGCTACCGCTCACAAGATGAGTATGGGGTGCACAATAAACTAGCCGCCTTCGGCGGCAACAATCAAATCATCCCACACTCACCCCATGGAAGGCGAGGATGCATCGGTCGAAGTTGTATATGTAGGGAGCGTCTCTGGGGGCGTACCAGACCGCGTACCCGGGCTGGATGGGGCGTCTGGCCACGTAGAGCGGCGACCAGCCGTCGTCTCTCGTGTAGTTCTCGGCTACCAGAAGCTGCAGCTTGAGTCCCTCGTAGACGTAGGCCTCGCTGGGACATGATTACCACAGGTGAATATATATTAGAATATGGAAAACTATCCTTAAGAAACAGTTAATTGGAGGTGGGAAACATTAACTGGAATAATGAAAAGTCAATCGATAAATGTTAGTTAATGTATAAGGGGGTCAAGTTAATGAGAGGAGAGATAAGCTGATCAGAGGGCAACTGATCGTAGGGATTGTGATGGGTATTCAGAGCTTTCTGTTGTGATTTTATGGCAAAATAATTGAATATAAGTGTAATATTGGATTGAAATATACTGATATAAAACATTGTACTTGAACCAACCAACTGATGTTACCAGAACTACCATGAAATTATATAACCAACCAACTGTGGTTACAAGAACTGAATAGGGTTATAAAACTCTTCAGTTTCTTTACTAGTGTCCCCCCTCCCCCTACCTCAGTGGGAGGTTTCTTGACATAGTGAGGGCGGGGAAGCTCTTGTGCGCCGTTCACGGTTAGGTGGAGGTTGCTCCTGCCTGCTGTGACGGCGCACAAGTCAAATCCTCCCTTATGTGTTAGTCTTGCCTGGAGATCCGTGCATTCCCTGGTGCCACTTCATCTGAGAGTTGAACCTACCCAGACGCTGAGGCTCCATCAACACACTTCTTTGATCGAGGGGACGGGGTTAAAACAAGAGGTTCAGTGTGGCCCACCTGCATCAATCACCTCATCTGGGTAGCCCCACTGTGGGCACTCTGTGGTTGGTATTAGTATCGGTCCCTGAGATAGCATCCAGCGCTTCATTGGTGACCCGCGTATCGTAAACTGTTCTGGTTACCTCTGAGGTAGCTTGCCTATGTACTTGTACCTTCCTTCGTGGTGGGTGGGGAGGTTGGGCTGCAAAGCCTTTCTCTGTCTTTGTTCGTATGTTTAATTCAAACCATATTTCCTCTTCTCAGACTCGTGGAGTGGGTGACCAGGCCCTTGAGATGTACCCTGTTGGAAGATCAGGCTCCGAATCTCTGGTTGTGGTGGGCCAAGACAAGGCTTTGTATTTTATTACCCCTCTAGATAAGTTTCCAACCCCTGCCTCTTCCTCGACAGGGTCGACCTTAGAGTCCCTGGTTGTGTCTACTACAACACCTGGAGTGTCTCAGACCTTAATGATTACTACGGCATCTATTGCCCCTAGCCTTCTTGGAAGTCCAAGACCTTCACCGTACACAAAACGTACTCTCCTTCAGGTGTGTATGTTTCCCGCACCGACAACTACATATCACGACCTGCTATCTGTTGACAATTCTCGCCCTGTTGACAATTCTCGCCCTGTCGACTTTTACACTCACAAACACTTCATTGACTGTGTGGAGTTCAGTTTACGCTCACCCGGACTGGCTCCTGCATCTTCCAAGCCCTCTCTGCGGAGGCGGCAACTCGCCTAGCTTTACGCCTATGAGTTTTCCTTATGAACTAGGGAAGGTGGTGATGGAGAAGGAAGGTGGTGAAGGAGAAGGAAGGTGTTGATGGAGAGGGAAGATGGTGAAGGATAGGGATGGTGGTGAAAGAGAGGGAAGGTATTGAAGGTGAGGGAAGGTTGTGAAGGAGAAAGAAGGTGGTGATGGAGAGGGAAGATGGTGAAGGAGAAGGAAGGTGGTGATGGAGAGGGATGATGGTGAAGAAGAGGGAAAGTGGTGATGGAGAAGGATGATGGTGAAGGAGAGAGAAGATGGTGATGGAGAGGGAAGGTGATGAAGGGGAGGAAAGGTGATGTAGGGGAGGGATGGTGGTGATGGAGAGGGATGGTGGTGATGGAGAAGGAAAGTGGTGATTGTGAGGGAAGATAGTGAAGAAGATGGAAGGTGGTGAAGGAGAAGGAAGGTGATGATGGAGAGGGAAGGTGGTATTGGAAATTAACCAACATTTCATTACCATTATGTGCTAGGCATAATATATACTAATCTTACTAATCTGTAGAATTAACAGAAATTAATATTCTCCTATCTGCGCGGGCTCACCATAGCCCGTGTTACTTGGAAATTTTTGTTCCGAGTAGCAGATCTTATACAACAACAATCGTATCTGCGCTTCAATTGCCAAATACTTCCTATTTAGTATGGCGGTATTGTGTCAGATAATACTCAGCAGAGGTATAAATATTGTCAACATGCCAGAGAATTTAATAATATTCTCGCCATTTGTCAGTATTCTCTACAAGAATTAATACCTGACAATTTAACAACTAGTGATCTAATAACAACGATTTATCAAAAGGATCACTATATAACAGTTAATCTGTTATCTTAAGCTTACATGGAGGAAGCAGAAGATTCTCTCCATTTCTTGTTTAATAAGAACTCTGTTCATATTAATTATTATTTAACGAGAATCTAAATAATATATAACTCCCTATAATTGCAACCCTATTCTCATTAACTTAATAAGTAGAGCAATTACAAGGAAAAGAATTTTCCGTTTCTACTGAAATATGTTTGTGCGTGCGCGGCGAGATGGGTTGAGGGAGGAGGAGGTAAGCTTTCTACAAGACACCGCGACGGGACGGCCACAAGTACAGAGAGACAGGTAACGTTTTCGCAAGGTACGCGATCGGCCATTGCTATTACTCGGCCCCGGAGTGCATAATTACCCCATTAGCGATCCAAGGATTGCATCGGCTGACAACAATTATGTTAAGTGGTTTTGTTTTCATTGTTCTGAGCTCACAACATGTAAACTTTACCCTTAGTTCGTCATTACACCACGCTCCCTCCTCTAAAAACAAGTACGTTCCCAGGAACCTAATTTACGCTTCCTATTAATTCATAGTGACATAATCTACTATGTGTAAACAATTTTTACACTATTGGGTTTCCAGCATGTGTTGAAGCAGCCGGAGGTGAGACAAATTCCCACACCACACTGGCGGGTCACGTGTTCCAGCAGGTTCTAGATGACGCTATCGCCCAACCACGCTACCTTTCACTGTCACAACTAAGCAGCTGATCTTTCTTTCATTTATCGATTAACTTCTTATAAATTGTTGAGATTTAATCATATCTCGAATTTATATTTCATTTACGTGAGCTAGGAATTTAATCATATTTCTTATAGCCTCATAAACTTTTAGATAGGAACAATTTTCTTGTCTAACATTTATTTCTATATGATCTTGTCATTAACCAAATTATTGAATACTTATACAAATTATATTTCTTAGTAAATTTTACTAACCACTTTCGAGGAAGAACCAGCCTCGATTAAGTGTACTAGGAGTAAATCAGCTTCTAGTATTAACCCCCAATTGTGAAGTTTGGGAATGTTCAACTCTTGAATAATAATTAATCTTACAGTCCATGTATGTCCAACAAATAATTCTGGATGATTATATTATCCACAGGCTCTGGTATCTCAGTCCATTTTATTACACTAGTTATCTGTTTCCCTTTTCAGTAAAAATAGGGTGGTCCTTCGATTAATTCGATTCAATCAATTAAATGTCATTATATGAAGGATTAGCTTTCCTTCACGACACAAATTTGGTCCTTCAAACCGGATACATACTATTTAATTATTACTAATCACATTGTGTAGTAACCTAGGTTAAACATATTTCCTTATCTGTGGTTGGCAGCAGTGTACCACATATGTTAGCCTAACCCACACCAATTTATAATATATGCTGACTATACCTCATGGATAAGGTAGCACTAGTTGGACACAATCCGTTTCCCACAACACTCAGACCTATACCTCACACTGAGGTAAGAATCTTCAGGTCACCAGGAGCAACAGCTCACAATTTCTACAATAACTCTACATTAACACCTGCGTTAGATTGGCCTCACCATCTAACAATAATATACTTAGGTGGTAACGACATCCATTCTACTAGACACCCAGCTGAAGTAATTAATCACCTTAAAACAATAATTTCCTCATTTAAATTTGTTAGCAGTTCAGTAGTGTTCACATTAGTGGAACCTCGCCAACTAAGTAATGCTAGTCGTTAGGGAGTGAGTCCAGAATATTATCAAAGAGCTGCTAAATATTTTAACATTCGGCTGAGGAAAAGAGTACGATTGGATGCCACTTAAATACAATTTACAGCCTGACCATACAGGCAAAACCTGGCAAGAGATGGTGTACACCTGCCAGGAGAGTCTAGGTCACATGTAGTTCACAAGTTGGTCAACACAATCAACCATCATAAAAGGTTGTGGCTAGCAAGCCAAAATTAGCTATATATATATATTTTATAATTTTCACTTGTGTGTGCAAATACACATTTATATATAAAAAAACACAGCACATTATACTTACATTACTGCACCATTAATTAATTTTATGCCAACCTTTATTAAGTAGGAATTTAGGCTGTGACTGTGCTGAGTTTTGCACAAATGCAGACTAAATAACTTAGTAGTTTCTTTAGTAGAAATTATTTCAACTAGTCTTGAACTAGTCAGTAGTGTACATTACATTATTCATTATTGTGCTGACCCTAAGACAGGGTGGGATTTAAGTCCATTATATTTACTATTATGCTGACTCTGATTAGGGTGGGATATATGTATAAATCATATATTGTGTATTCACTATTTTTGTGTATTTTTTTAGTGCTGCTGAATGCTCACTATTCCATCGAATGGTGATAATGAAGAGCTAGCTAGACGAAATTCAAATAGTGACATTCAAGTATCACTCAAATTCTAGCTACTTGTTGTTAGTTAGGTAATTTAACCTCAATGAGGTAGAGTGCAATTTAGCCACAAAAATTTAGGCTATCTTCAATTCATTTGCCAACCAATGAGCAAGTACCCAAGCTACTTTAGCAACACTTATTCAAGTCCTATAAAACTTGAACTTAAAGCCACCGTGGATACTCCTGAAAAATAAAGGAGATCCTATATTGGCCTTAAAGGTCATCTAACAAGATTGATTTATAAGTCTGAAGCATTATCTAAAGCAACTTCCATTGATTACAATCAATTAGAAATTTCACTGAGAGTAGCTGATCTCAAATTTGATCAAGTCAGATCTACA